TTTATCATCCTCATTTTTCAGATGAAGAGCCTGACCCTCAGGGAGCTTAAGTGATTTGAGCCAGGTCGCACTGCTAGAAAGTGTCTAGCTGCAGTCAAGATTCAAAAGAATTTCCTTTGAGTCCTAATTTCCCAGTGGAAGTAAGTATAACATTCTTTAACACCTTAACACACTGCCTTTCTATCAGAGGCAAATGCAGGTTGGTTTAAATGTGGCACACTCTTAAAGTGTACTTTTAAAGCAGGGTCACAGGATTGTCATTATTCACCAATATCAATAAACAGTTGGGTCCTCATGTTTCTTACTGTTTGTAATTTTGTAACTTACCTTTTTTAAGCCATTTATAGTAGTTTAATTGTGTAGTCATCTTGTCTAGTACAAATATTGCTAGATTTACAAATAATTCTTCCTGTGAAATTTCTTCTAGATTTAAAAGACTTTACAATCAAGGAGAAGTAATATTCATGGAATTTTTATTTGCAGGGTTGGAGTGTTCCAAGGCTCTGAGAGTGCTTCAAATAATAGTGACTAATAGTACAGTGTGTAAGAATGGTCCACAGAAATGATGTGATCACATTCTGCTCTCTAGTTCAGTTGTTTGATTTCATTCACTTTGCCCAGTGTCCACAGGAAGCTGCTCTAATATCCTTTTCACCATTACATCAGTTGAGTTTAGCCTAAAGAAAAAAAAAACCTCAATTTTTTTTTTAAAGTAGAAGTCAATCCTCTCAAATCAAATCTGAAATCAAACTGAATCCAGAAGACTTTATCCTTATAAAGTAAAAATACTTTACTTCTTATAAAGTTAACATAAACTATGAATGGAAAATCAGACTAGGTAAAATGTAAAAAGTTTAAGCTTCTAGTATTTGGATTTTCCCTCACCGCACCCTTTACTCCCCTCCTCTCCAGAACCATAGAGTTTTAGAGCTAGAATGAAGGTAGTCTAACCTCTTCATTCTATAGATAAGGTTACTGAAACCAAGCAAGAAAAAGAGATTTTTTCCAATTTCTCATTGCTGGTTAATTATAACAAAACCAGAATTAGAACCCCTTTTTCCTAGTTCCCTGAGGGTAAGAAAACCACGGTCAAGAGCATTCAATCACAAATACTTATTCAGACCCTATTTTATACCTAAGAACTGTGAGTAAGTACCAGAGAAGAGAAGAGAGATTCACAAAAGTAGCACCCGCTTACTTTTATTAGCTTACATTCTAATAAGGGAGATTAAACATGACGAAAAGTCAAAAAGGAAGTTGTAGAATCTTCCTTCAGGCAACCCAGTCGATATCTTGGATAGTCTTTGAGTAACATGATGTTTAGAGAGTTTAAGTGAGTAGCCTGACGTCACAGGGGCAGTAAATATAGACAGGATATGAACCCATAGCTCTTCTTGACTCCAGGTCCTGCATTTTCTGCACTGGCCATGCTCTTTCTCAACAATACAAAATAGAATATAAAAAAAGAAGAAAATGCTATTAAGCCAAGATCATTTCCAGGTTGGGGGGAAGGGTGGAGCAATAGTGAATTAGGATAGAATAGATGCCATTTGATATCAATCTTGTGGTTCAGCAAGCATAGGTAAGGAAGGGACATTCTATGCACATGAGAGAACATAAGAAATGATTAGGGGGTTAGGAAAGCTGGAGTGCTATGTGAAACTAAGTGGTTTGGTTTGAATGTAATGTTGAATAATTTAAGGGATAGATTGTAAGCTAAAGCTGCAAAGCCTGCTTATGAAGAGTCCTGAATGTAATCCATTAGGTAATGGGGAACTATTGAAAGTTTTTGAGGCATGGAGTGACATGATTGCAGCTATATTTTATTCTGGCATTGGTGAATATGATAGATTTGGCAGTGAGAGACTAGTGTTGGAAAAGCTGTTTAATAAACTATTATAATAGTCATGGGGAAAAGTAATGATGTGGTGACTTTTTCATTATATGGTTTTGAAAAATAATTCAATTCTGATTCTAAGTATTTTTTTTATACTTTTAGTATGTCATCTGACTCCATGGGTCAAATGTGAATGCCCAGATTTTCAGCTACAGTTAATTATTTATTCCAGAGAATGGGGGCAGTGTTAAACACCATCTCAACAAATTAGATGAATCAAAATTTATTTCCATTTGGTTTTGGCAGGTATTATGCAATTTTTATCCCCCCCCCCCTTTTTTTTCAAAAGCAGACTTACCTAATTGTCATAGAGATTAAATTCATATTTCCCATTGGAATCCTTATGGCCAGAAGTGATTGTTTTATCTCTCTTGCAGGCTAGTTATCGAACACAAGTAATCTTTGTACAATATAAATATTGAGCTACAAAAAGTTGATGCTTAGTCAGGAATATCCACTGACTGGTCGATGTGAGAGTATAGTGGAACAGGCAGTGGTAAAGAGTACAGCACAGAAGGGGTCTTACCATTTCCTCACTCTAGGTTAAGGAGCTTGAATTGTCAGTTTACAGTTGAAAGGGGAAGGGAATATAGAGCTATGAAAGCAAAACCTTGATGGTTTATAAAGGGTGGGAAGATTCAACTGTAATCATTTAAAGAGAAATCCTTGGGGTTTTTAGTAAGAAATCTTACATAATGGGGTCCTCAGTAGAAAATATCTGGAGACCCCTGACATTGAATATATAACTATCTCTAAAAAGCTTAATGTAACTGAAAATTGCTTCTTCTGTGATGAACAGTAAAATATATTATTCTTTGACTACCTGTATAGACATTGTGTTAGGGTTTTTCATCATGTCTCCTGTTGTGAAAGAGTCTTTATAGTGTGAAATTCTTGGCTTCAAAATGTTTTATGAAAAATGCAAAGTCAAAATTTATTGTTCCCTGTTAAGCATTTCAGCTGTTTTTCAGAACAACCCACTTAAATTGGAGAAGCCTATTGTTATAGCAATGACAAAGAGATTTTTAGAAGTTTATTGACATAAAGCAATTGCAAACTATGTTGGACATTTATCATCGATATTTTACTCTCTAGGCTGTTATTAACTCATATGAAATATATTTTTTAATACATTCTCCCCCTCCCTTCCATATTTTCCTTTGACTGCAGTTACTGTAGGGAGACTTAAAGGCCTTTCAGTGCCATATAAAGTGCCATTGACATTTTGCCCACAGAGCGTGCTTCTGAGAGGTACAACATCTTGATGGAAGCAATGAGCTTTTATGTCCAAAATGTGCACGTTACACCTCACTGTTGTTTTATCTGCAGTTTCTCCTAAAGCGTGAGACCAGATCTGACACTCATTTCTTCTGTACCTATGACTGTACTACAAACATGTAGAAGAAAAACAACAACAAAGCGGGTTTGGCCAAATACTCAGATATTTGGTACCGCTTAGACTAAGCAATCTGGTGATTAATTGAATTTAGCATTTTTCATCTGGAAGTTTTGGCATTATATCCTTGTAACCTTTATCGATACATTTCCAGCTAAGTGGATACAAAGCCCTAAATAGGTCATACTTAGGCAACCCTACATTCTCTACTTTATTCTTGTTTCTAATCATAATCTGTGAATTACTTGGCTTAGTTAGAAAGGCTTATGAGGTTTACATGGTCTTGGAAGCCTTGTCTCAGGATGTTTGTGTCGATCTGGTTGGGAGTAAATTGGGGCATCTCTTAAGTCTGCAACCCAAGTTAGATTTTCTGTAAATAAGGAAACAGTTTTGAAAACATTTATATTGAGTGAGCATAAATTACATATGTGGTTTGTTTTCCATCTTGATCAAGTCATTCATCACTTCAGCTTTGGATGGTATTATGTTTATCTTGCTATTTGGTAATGCTAAATGGCGGTAGTGAACAGATTTATACTAATTATCTATGGATACCTTTCAAGTCATTTGGTATAGTGGAAAGAGCACTGGATAAGGCAGAGGATTTGCGTTCAAATTCTGGCTCTGCTGTTCCCCACCTGTGTAACCTTGGGCAAGATGCTTAACCTCTCTAGGTCTTAGTTCCTCACCTGGAGTTTAAAGCCCTTCACAATCTGGCTCCAGTCTACTTTTCCAGGTTTCCTCTTATCCCATAAGTTACTTGCCTTGACTGATTCCTCTCCTTCATGGAATGTACACCTGAGCTGAACTGACCTTGCTGTTTCCTGTATATAATATTCCATCTTCCATCCCCTCACCTTTGTAGAGCTTGTTCGCCACACCAGACACGGCCTCCCTCTTCACTCCTGCCTCATATAATCCTTAGCTTCCCTCAGAGTTCAACTCAAGTATTAACTCCTACAGGAACCCTCTCCTTTTCTATCCATTTACAATTGTTCTCCCCTTCAGTTTCTTTGTATTTCATCTTGCCAGTGGACCCAGATGGCTGCAGAGGAGAAAGTAAGGCTGGTGACTTTGCACAGCCCTCCCTCATTTAAATCTAATTCACTTGCGGGTCATGGCATCACCTTCCTGATGTCACGGTTCTCTTTGAGAAGGAAGGACAAACAGCAACAACAACAACAATAATTTCATTTCCTGTGTACACATTGTTCCTTCTCCCCTTTCCTATAAGAATGTAAGGAGCAAAGAGTCATTTTTCTTTCTTTTTTTTATGCCCAGTACCTAACACATTATCTAGTACATAGTAGGCATTTAAATAATGCTTATTGAATACATGAATGAATGAGTAAAATGAGGATATGGACTAGATCAGTTGTGTTAAAGTCAAATAGAAATGGATCCCTGCTGGTCACATACTGAATTAGAAAACCACAAATTGATATTATATATCTTGTATTATATTTTTATTTAGTTTGTTAAACATTTTCCAATTACATTTTAATCTGGTTCAGACTGCATTTGGGAATTTTGCCACATCTCTGGACTAGATGACCTTGAAGGCCTCTTCCAGCTCTGTGATTCTGTTAGTAAATCCCCATGGATGAAGACCCTGAATGCACAGACCTTCATCAAAGGTGATTTAAGAGGTACACTCAATATTCTTTTTCTACTTAGATTTAATGTTTTTCTATCTTTTCCTGACAGGTCTATATCAGGATAAAGGATGATGAGTGGAATGTATATAGAAGATATGCCGAATTCAGGAGTTTGCATCACAAGTTACAGAACAAATATCCTCAAGTGAGGGCCTACAGTTTCCCACCTAAAAAGGCCATTGGAAATAAGGTACTCTACCAAGAAAAGTAAACTACCATTTTTACTTGTGTCATGCAATTAATCTACATTCCTAATAGTGTATTTTGATTTTAAGAGATGAAGTTTGTGAAACCTAGGAAGACTCCATTTTTGGTAAATTCTAATTCTCTTCCATTTTGGGAATTAATCTGTAGATAGTCCTCTGCCACCTTGGTCTTGAAAAAACATGATTAGAGTTAATCATAATTCAACTCCTTCACATATAATATAATATCGTTTGGGTCAGAAATGATCAAGGGTAATTGTTGGCTACTGATTCATATCTAATCTTAAAACATGTTTCATCAGTATTTCATGTATTAAAATCAGATTAGAAAGCTAATTTAGTTGTAATGTAGCAAACACCAAAGAAAGAAAGCATATTCCTATCAAGATTCATCTCAGTCTTTGATCATTTTTTCTGTTAAGATGGTGTGGAATTAAACCCATAAAAATGCAAGATTTGAAAATTCTGCATGGTATTTTTGATTTGCTAACACCAAGAAGGAGTAAAATATTTCGTTATCAAGAGAAAAATCATATAAACTATTCATTTTTAGACTATGACAAATCTTGGGCTACTTCCAGAATTTCTCCAAATGCTTCAAAACACCAGCCTGCTTAATCAGTAATAGAACAAAGCTATTATATGACATGTTTCTTAAAAATATTATTATGTGACTATTAGAGAAGCAGCTTGACTTAGTAGATACAGAATTAGCCTCAGAGTCAGGAAGACCTGGATTCACATCCTGCATCTTATACATAATGGCTGTAGGACCCTAGGCCAACCACTTAACCTTTTAGTGCCACAGGAAACTTTCTAAGACTATAAATTTCTGAGAAAGTTCCAATCTCTATTGATAGAGAATGTTCCTCACTGAGAATTCCCTATACTAATGAAACTACATATCCATTTCTTTTTTTTAAGTAACTATTATAAGACACATTTATGTTTTAAAAATCACATTCAAAAAACCTTGCAAGAATTTCCATTTAGTTCACTGTGCCCATCAATATCAAATCATTTTCTAACAGAATTTATTCTCACAATAGGTGATTTATGGCAATTTGGATCAAGTCAAGTCAAATCAACGAGAATTTGAATGCTTAATGTGTGAGAAGCACTAGGAATACAAATGTTTTTTGTGTAACCTCCTTTGAACTTGACTTGAATTCTAGCATTCTAGGAAATCTATTCTATAAGCCCCTAGTAACATCAAGAGACAGAGGGTATTTTAGTGAATGTGGTATTAATCTTGGAGTCAGGAAAACCTAGGTACATTTTCTAGCTTGGTGACCGTGAGTTAGTTACTTAATTTTTGAGTGCTCCAGGCAACCCTGTAAACCTGTATGGACTAGTTTTTCTATATTGGTGAAGGTACTTTCTTCACTGGGAGTTCCCTACACTGATTGACAATCATAAGTTCTGGCCAGAAAGAAAATCGTAGTTTTATAGGTTGAATTTGATGAGATGAATCACCAGACTCATAAGTGAAAATGAATTTTAACAAGTATAAAAAGAAGCAGATATGATCTACATGTTTGTGAGCCCAGTCAGGATACGTATTATGTGTTGTTGATTATACAACTTCCTAGGTAGGTAGCCACCTTACTTCACAAGAAGTTAACTAACTGTGACAATTTCTACATACATAATCAGAAAGATCCATCTGTGTCAATCCTCAGAATGAGTTCAACATTAATAGAAGTTAAGTTTACGTAAGGAGGGTACTGCTGTTTTTTGTTGTTGTTGTTTTTTCTTCTCCTGATCCATTATACAAATATTTGAGCTTCACCTTGAAAGGTGACATCTTATGTATCTTGACTCTTAACTCTTAGAAGCTGTGCTTGGTGTTACTTATAGGTAATAGCTTTCACTCCTGACTAGATATCTTGGTCCTTTTCATGTTGGTGGTCACTGTGGGACACAAGTTAGGATGAAGGCCTTATGTTGTTATTCAGGCATATGACAGTTGCTAGTTCATTAAGAAATACTAGGATGAAGAGCTTCCTTTCTGCCCAAGCTGTCATCTCAACCTTTTAATTTGCCTGTCTAATAGTAATTGTACTTTGATTCTTTCTTTTCTTTCCCTTTTGACTGAGTAAGACATAATTGCTTCCCCTAAGTCCACTTTGGCTGCTACTCAGGGCAGATCTGGGAAATGCTTACGATTTCCTTTATTTTCAAGGACAGATTGAGGTCAGGACATGGAATTCTCAACCTATTAGCCAGAAGGCTAATAGGCTCATTGGTAAAACTGCATAACTCAGTGCTACCAAATGGTTGTGGTAGCCTAATGAATTTTGGTACATGGCCAGTAACTGCTTTGATACCCTTAAGGGCTAATTCTCCAAAAATTTTTGATTATTAATTGGCAAAGAAAAATCAGTTAGACCAAGAAACATGTCTTTTCTTATGATGGGTTTACTTTGAGAACCTACCAGTCCACTTGGATCATGAAGAAATATCCAAGCTGATAACTATGATGTATTTGGGTTGATTGAATAATAAATCTTGTGTTACTATAACCCCTAGAACTGTTAAATTAATATACATTTCAGAATATACATTTGGAATATACATTTCAGAATATCATTCAAGCAAACATTCTACAAAGATTATCCTTTTTTTAGATACATGTGTTTCTGCTCTCATTGTCTAGTATCTATTACGAAGGCACTGCCTTTTATCAATGTCCATTGATAATGGTGATAGTAATCATCTGAGTATTCAGAAATTAAAATGTCTTCTTAATTTGTTCATGAACTTGCTTTTTTAAACTAAAGAATATTTGGTATAACGAACATACTCAATATCTTTTATATGTATAGAATTTGTCTTTACCAAAGCATAAATTGCGCTTTCATATTCAGAACATGTATTTAATTGGATATGCATGAAATATGAGAAAAGAGTGACAACTCTTAGTGAACATACTTAGTAATACCAACATATTCACTAGGGATATCTTTTACCTTTATGTCCCATCAAGCCCAATTCACATTAGAACATAATTTTCTTTCATATCAACTACAATCTGACAAAGTGCAATCATAGCAGTATTTGATACCTCTCTCATGGAGACATAAGAGACAGCTTGGTATAATGTGAAGAGCACTAATCAAGAGTTAACCTGAGTTCTAATTGCTTTTTTTTATTTCGACTGAATTCAGTGTAGTCCCCTAAAGTTTCCTTTCCTCATTGTGTCTAGTTTATCCCCCACTCCCAAAGTAGACACTGCTGCTAGCTGTTCTAGAGACATTGCTAGGAAACCTGTGGGAATCCTAAACTCTTCCAGCCTTTGGAATTTCACAAGGTCATGGTTTGTTTGGGGGTTAGGGAAATTCAGAAGCTCCCCTATATGATCAAGCAACTCTGTTTCCTCATTTGTAAAATGAAGGAAGTAGATTAGGTTACTTCAAAGATCTCTTCCAGGTCTAAAATTCCATGCCTATGGTATATGAGTATTAATGTTACTCATTAATTTTGAATATTGCAGACTTCAGGTTGAAGACAAAGTCTTATGTTTCACCTTATAGAGGAATTTGAGTTTTGTTTTGTTTTGTTTTTAATAGAGTTTATTGATAGAGTTTATAGAGTTTTTTGCATCACTTGAGTATCTCTCTGTGTTCCTCCCCTCCCCCTTCTGGAGACCCATCTGAAGAACCAAAGAATTTTCTTTTAAAGGAAAAGGAGGAGGAAGAAGAAGGAAAAGAAGTCAGAAAAACAACCAATACATGAAAAAAATCTGATATTTTTAGTGTTCCACACTAGTGGACCTTCCCTCCTTCTCCAACCTCTACAAAGGAATATTGGGAGGTATTTTCTAATGTCTCCTCTTCGGGACAAAATTGTTCTTTACAATTTTGCCACATACATTCTTTTATTGTTTTGTGGTAGTTATTCTTTCCGTTTACATTATTGTAGTTATTGTGTATATTGTTTTCCTGGCTCTGCTTATTTCATTTTGTATCAGTTCATATCAGGCTTTCCATGCTTCTTTCTCTTTATCATGTTCATCATTTCTTACAGCACTCGTATTCCATTACCTTGTTGTAGCACAATTTGTTTTGGCTGTTCTCTAATTGATGGGGTCTACTTTTTTTTAGTTCTTTATGACCACAAAAAGTGCTACTATGAATATTTTGGTGAATATGATGAAGTCATCCTTTTTTTTTTTTTCAATGACCTCCATGAGTTATGTACCTGACAGTGGGATCTCTGGGTCAAAGAACATGGACAAATAAGCTAATTTATTTGCATAAGTCCATATTGCTTTTCTGAATTGTTGTACTAATGTACAGCTTCACCAACAATGTGTTAGTGCTCCTGTCTTTCTACACCCTCTCCAACATTGACTGTTCCCATCTTTTGTCATCTTTGTCAACTTTTTAAATGTAACATGAAAACTTAGTTGGATTTGCTTTCTTTTCTTATAAGTAATTTGGAGCATTCTTAAGTATTGCTGTTAATAGTTTGTAATTCTTTTGAAAATTGACTGTTTGTATCCTTTGACCAATTATTTATTGGGCAATGTCTTTTGGTCTTGAGTATTTCTGTTAATTCACTGAGATATTTGGTAAAAAATATATTTTTTTCCCCCATTCACCTGGGAAACTTGAGATTTTAATGAACTGGAATACCAAGAGGAGATAACTAACACAAAACGTTTATAAATGAAATATTTCTAGTCTATTCATACCATGGAATCTTGGTAGATAGATTTAAAATGAGGCCTAAAAGTGTGGTAGGCAACATGGTATCATGTAAAAAGTGATAGATTTGGAATCAGAGGACTTGGGTTCAAATCCTTGCTCTTTAACTTACTACCTGTGTGACTTTGGACAAGTTCACTTAATACCTCATTGTCCTTCACTTTCCTCATCTGTTAAATGAGGAGGATGGGCTAGATGATCTCCTGTCTTTCTCAGATCTGAATCTTATGATCCTATGATTATGAGATCAAAAAATATTTCACAACTTTAGT